ATGCACAATGTGATACTGTGTAATCCCCAAAAAGCTCTAAATTATAGTTAATGTGCTTAAATCTGAACCAAAAACGCGAATTAAAAAAAAAAACCCTTAAATCAGCTCTCGGACGCCTTTCTTTTCACCCTATCAGTTTGGAGGTCACGCATTTTCGCCATTGCCTATTTCGCATCGAACCCGCCGCCGTCATTGAAGTAGCCTTTAACGGAATGCAGAAAATTAATCCCTTGCTTTCGTTAACACATAAATGAGTTTGTATTTTGACAATCATTTGTGCAGTCGCAAATTCCCTTGCTTCTAAGGGAGTGGACCCACACCACCCTACATAGACAACTTCAAATTGTCACTTCCCATCGCCACAATCGATACAAATTTACCTGATCGTAAAAAAAAGATTATAAAATGCAGCCTAAAAATCGATATAATATATATCACACCAATTCATCAGCTTATTTTTTTGAGAAGGAACAAAATTTATCGTGTGACCATTTGATGGCGCCACAAAATATTTCGGCAGCCTCCAATTATCCTTCACACATATATACTCCAAGTCCTGAGAATATAATACACATTGTTTTAATTTAATTATTTATATCTTTTAGAAAAAAATAAAAAATGAAACAAATTTGTATAGGAACATAATAACTTACTTGACATGAAGATCTACCAGGGAGAAAAATGTCAGGTGATTTTGTTTGCTTTGTGGATTTACGATTGTCGTGATTTTCATTCTTCAGCAGCAAATGACTCTTCCCAGATAGGATTGATTCAATACATTTACGAGCTAAACCAACTTCACCACCTATCGAAATATACAAATTTCAAGGTAATTTATTTATAAAGAAAAAGGAAAAAAAAAGAAGCAATATCGACAAAAGATGAAAAACACTGCGAAAAAATGGCGTAAATTTAATCCATTTAAATTGAAAAAAAAAAAAAAACATTACCAGTTGTTGCGTTTTCCGATAAAGAATTGCCAAGGCATTCTGCAAATCCTCCGAATCCGGCACGTTTTTCACTTCCGTATTATTCGTCCACTTAAATTGAACAAGTCAATTCTCTTGTACAACAATCCCATTTTTGAGTATGGGACAAGATTTCTACGTCATCATATTACTTTCTTGCATTACTATCAAGAGCTCCATTTGTTTCTGCATTTTAAGATTTTTTCCCACTATTCGGTAATAAACCCTTTTTAGCGGAATCCACATTGTCACATTTTTTATCTCGATTACCCATAACTGGCTACATTGAGTTCGCCGCCATAGAACTCAACGGTTACACCTACTTGTTCAACACTACACTTCGATTTTGCCCTCCTAAAAGGAACATCAGCTTTAACAATTTCATCGAAACGTGCAATAAGGGCTGCAAGAAAACATGCTACAATTGAATCATTCTCAAAATAAGCAAACAATCAGAATTTGATACAAATTTGATACAGCTTAACATATGGACGAGCTTAAAGAAAACCACACTCCTTCCAAACTATATAAGCCAATTTCAGCAGCAGAATCATAATGCATAAGATTTCATCAAAGAACCATGAATGAAGATTACTTTGTACCACAATGTTGTAGACTTGTTCCCATGTATCGAAGAATTACTCCATAGGTCACGCAAATTGGCCACTCCTACATAAAATGATTTTTTTTAAAGCATTTACGTATAATATTTTGTAATTTGTATAGAAAATAGAAACTGAATTGAATATAAGACACAATAAATTAAATAGCTCGAAAATCTTCTCTTCTATTATTGCCTCACCTTCCACAGTAAGTTTTGTCAGTTCCCCTTTGTGGTAAGGGAATATGGCCTCTGGGCCTCTTGCCATCCCGATGTCATAACAAAATAAAAAACTTAACAGTTAAATAAATACTGAAATTAAGGTTCCCTATATAACCACACCCTTTTGAGGTTAAAATGAAGCCGCATCAAGTAGAGAAGAAACCATAAATCGTGAAAGAAAATAGAAATTACCTCTCGTGAAAGAAAATAGATACCTCTCTGCAATAAATATTTCCTGAAATAATTAAATATCAAAAGACTGTAGAAATCGGTTTAATGAAAATTGGAGAAATTTATCTCATATCTACAGAATAACCTTTACTTGTTCTCCCATGTATATGTTGTTGCTATTTGATTGAATAATAAAAGTTTAGTATTACAACTATCCAAAGCTTAACTGCAAATGAGTCCAAAATTTCAATAAAGATACCGAAGAACTCGAAGAACCAAAACTGAAGCAGCAATCTATGGCTAACAAAAAGGTAAAGACAAACAAATTGTAAACATCATCTATAGTTCACAAGTAGCAAATAAACATGCATAGATTAATTGCTTTCATGAACTGCACTCATAAAATGAAAGTAAAATCCATACGCATCTAAACGACACTGCATCACCACCGCCGCCGACAAATGAAATTTGTACAGAACAAACTGAAACAATATACCAAATAGAAAAACACTTACGAAAAGATATAAACGCGCAAAAAGACTCGGAACAGGTAAGCTTCATTGTATCATCTAGTTGAAGGGAAAGTGATTCCCTGGTTTATTTTTTATTTTTTATTATCTGCACTACCAACTATAACATGGCATCGTTCCGACGACTTTCAACATTAATTTGGCCAAAATAAAACGAGAAAGAAATGGGCCAAAAGAAAAAGGGCAGATCACCATATATATATATATATATATATATATATATATATATATATATATATATATATATATATCAAATCCAATTTTAACATTTGGTAGGATAATTCTGAATTTCTCTGAAATATTTTAGTAAATAAGTTATTTTTTAAATACATTACGTATTGCATATTTTAATAAGTTCGACTAATTTTTTTTAGACAAAACATCGACTCATCTAACAAAGACACAATTTGTTTCCCATCTTTTTTGGATCTCCATTAAATTTTAAATATTATCAATTAAGCTTCCGAAAATTGTTCGAATTGTGATTTTTTTGAAATTTCCAAAAAAAAAAAAAAGGTATTTCAAAATTTCCAAAAGTTTTGGAATTGGAACAAATGTTTGAATTCCAAAAATTTTGGAATTGGAATCCGAAGGGCGAAGGGTTAGTTGATATCCGAAAAGAAAACGATTTTTTTCTCAAAGTTTTCTTTCAATTAATTAAAAGTAATAAAAAAAAGAAAAAGAAAAAGAAAAATGCAACTAATGAATAATTGAAATAAATAATGACAAAGAATTTGAGATCAAACTAAGCCGTCCGAGTGTTTTCTCTTTAGATTCAGGACTGTAACTAGTGCAATGACTGAAACGACGTAATTAACGTCGTTAATATTTATAATTTCGGCCATGGCTGTATCACTTACACCACAACAATCTGCACAGAAATCTCCACTTCTATTGTGAAGCAATCATTAACAATGAAGTAGTTTCCGAGATCGAGCAATGTGTCGAGACTTATGAAATCACAGAACCCCCAACATTTATTTGCAGACGTAAACCACCGAGATGCTGCAAAACACAAAAAAAATATTAGTAAAAATAGTAAATAACAATTTATTTATTAAAAAAAAAATAAAAGAAACTCACATTTTTCAGACATGTTGATAGGAGATAGGTTCAAACCATTTTTTAAGCGCATGCGGAAATCTGCCATGATTCTTTTACGAGCACCGGCACTAACACACACCAAAAAAACCGACAAATCACGGCCCTTTGAACTCGAATATCCATTTGGATATAGCATCACTTTCCTAGTAAGTTTAGGAAATATGATTTTAGTTCATATAAACAAGTGATTGTAAGCAAATAATGAGAGAGAGAAAGAGAGATGTATATATATACCAATTGACATCTCTTATGGTGAACTCTTCGGACTCCCAAACATCTTCCAACTTAGAGAAACCTACAATCTTCCATGCGCGTGTATATGGATATGTTGCACGCCTAAGCAAAGTCACATTCTCAATAACTCGTTGTCTGTTGTGGTTACAAAAAACTTCAGCGCCAAGAACAAAGTTGTCGTCAACCAGGTATCCGTTTGATTTATTTTTCAAACTTTCCGTAGATATAAATTTGGAAAATCCCCAATTGGACTTTGTTTCATTAAAGCGCCGCACTCCGTTTACTCGAAAACATAGATAATTGTCTGCTATTTGATTGTAGAGAAAGATTGTGAAATTGGCATTGAACTCCCAGTCTATAGGTAAAGAACTTGTCTCCGCCATAGCCAGGTATACTGAAACATGGCTATCGTCTTTTTCTTTGCCATACGGATAGATTATGAGTCTCCTGTCCAAAAAGAAAATTGAAAATGTAAATTATAAATACCTCTTAAAGTATGTATAAATTATAAAAATCCTCATATTTTCTCAAAAAACATATTTATCCCCTCAAACATTAACAGAAATCGTGTACATGAATAATAAAAAATAGAAGTATATAGATAAAAAAAAAATTAAAAAAAATCCAAAATATATTTGTTATAAAATGATCATTTTCATAAAAACAAAGTTCAGTATCAAAATTAGAGACAAATACAATCATTGAAAAACTACATAATTTTCTTTTTTTTTTTATATCTGTTTACAACTAATTTGAGATATGCTATTAAATGTTACAACATGTGTGTGTGATAGATTAAACACAAAAATATATTTATCGGAAATTATTACAGTTACTACCTCATGCATAATCGAGAATGTTGCTATGCATAATCGAGAATAAATTAGCAACGTTACCATTTGTAATCTCCTACTTCAAATTCCTTGGATTCGTATTTACGAATACCGTACTCGGAAAATAAGGAGAAAGATTCGATTTTTGTCAAAAAATGTGCCGGTGAAACATCTCTTGTTTCCACAGTAAACCCTAAGGTAACAATGAATTCATGAATAGGTAAATAATAAATATAAATATATTGGAAAATATAGGTAACAAACCCTCATCGTCATCATCCGTCGGAAAAGAGTTCCGGCCAGCCGCCGCCTTAGTTTTTGGAAGAAGTTTTTGTAATTGAGAGCCGACTATCTTAGACAAACACCAACCTAATACCATTCCCACCAATACCTTCATCTTGGCTGCCGCCGCCGCCACAAAAAATAAAATTATATAAGTCCAAATATATATATTTAATACGATTAGATAGAAAATAAACTAGATATGTTTCCTACTCTTAAATAGGAAACGTATGTTGATGAAGTTTTGAAATTGCAAGATATTCGGTTGACAAGATTTGTAAAGTCCATAACTTTTATTAAATTGCTTTAAAAAAATTGAACCCATTAAAAGATTAGATGAATAACAGAAAAACCCTCTCAATAGGGCATCACGGCCCAAATTATATGGTTATGCTTTTTTCTTGGATTATATTATATTTTGAGGCCTTGATCGATGAATTATTGATATTAATTTCTATCGATTAAATTGCAGGTGTTAGCAACAAGATACTATGTTTGTATACATGCAACAACAAAAAAAAAAAAAAAAAAAAAAATATCATAATTAAAATAGAAATATAGTGTTAGAATCTAATTAGATTCTAATAAACAAGGGATGAGTAAAGACTTGTGCAACAAGTCCTACGTACCGTGAAACACAAAAGGGAAGTCTCCTTGTTTACTTAAATTCTTTAATTTGTCATTAATTGTTTCTTTTATATAGGAAAATATTTTATTAATTAAAAAGAGTTTTTGTGCAAGACTATCCAATAGTTCTTGACTCTTGTGCGTATGATTTTTCAAGAAAGAAAAGATTTCCATAATTATCTTTTATATTTTATTGTCATTAATTGGTTGTTTGTTTACATGGGAATTCCCATTAGATTAGAATGACAATATTTTAATAAGGCATGGACTCTTATACGTCTCTAACTTTGTAAAACCTAATACAGGAGTTTTCCTATACTATAAAAGAAGAAGCAGGAACATAATACGGCTGGACACCAAGATTCAAGGAGTATCACAAGTTTGCTTCTTCTATATAAAAAGAAGATCGGTTCTTCGGGAGAGGGGCTTAAACAGATCTCGGGAGGAGATCGATCCGCCGACTGAGGGATTCAACGTTGAAGGGAGTTCAACCGTGCGGAGCAAGGGACGTGCTGCAAATTGAAGATTTATAATTCAGCGTAGTATACGAGAACGGCGTCAACAAAGAGGGAGTCTTTGTATTTTGATTAAGTCCTATTATTGTATTCGTAAAACTAAAAATTAGTAAATTTTATTTGCAGGTCCCCGTGGATGTAGGGTACAATTGTATCCGAACCACATTAAAATTTGTGTCTCGTTTATTTCTGTTTTTACGAACTGCTTCACGAACTGTTGCAACACTTAACGCAACAGTAACGAAAAACTGAATCTGACACCAAATAATTTATATCTGCACGAAATAAATTCTAACATATAGTAATAGCCCTATCCGAGTAGTTTTGAGGAGAGAGAGATCTAGAGAGAGGACCAATGTTTTAAAAACCGGACCGGTCTGTCCGACCGGTTCAACCGCGAACCGGTAGGTAGTCCGGTCCGGTTGAACTTCAATATCCGGAAAGTCATAAAACCCGGGTCAGTGGTCCGTGAACCGCGAAAATACCGGTTGAACCGAAGAAAACCGGTATGTGCAAACACAAAAAAAACTGAGAAAATCTTTATACCTCTGTTGGATGTTTGTATTGTAGAAGATTAATAGATATCGTGGAGAAAGAAAGAGTAGAAAAAAGAAAAGAAAAGAAAATTTGTAGAGATGGAGAGAAGAAAGTGGTGGTGGCTGGCGGCGGTAATTGCTACGTATTGACAAACCAATATTAGGTTTTGGTTGGGGCGATCTTTGATTTGGTTCACAACTAGCGGGCTACAGATTGATCTTGGGCAAATGGCGGATCGCACATCAGGCCGAGGGAGGTGAGTTTAGGTAAAATCCGTCTAAATGTCAGCCCAAACCGGCCACCATCTTCTTTTACTATTTTGTCCTCACTTATTTCATGTATTTACAAAATTACCCCATATAAATACCCTAGAACACAAATCCCGTAGTTGCGATTTCACCGGCGTTAAACCTAATTCCACTCCGTTTCTCGATTGTGTGGATTTATTTTTTCCATATTGCAATGGTAATCGATTGATCGATTTATTTTATCTATTCTGGAATATACGCGCAGGCGCAGCAGCTTCTTCCGATAGTCGGTGACCCCTGCCGGAGTTACACCTTCTGGAAGTCGACAATTTTTTGGCAGAATTGATTGAACATGCATTGCACAATCGTTTGACCTTATATTTTTGCCGTGCGGAACATGCATTGCACAATTTCTTCGTTGCTAACGGGTTTCCCTACTACGACACTTGTGAGTTGGTGTTTGTGGAGAAAGAAGCGGGGGCGATTGACGAAGGAGTTGGATCGGGTATTGAGACGGATATATGCAGATGATGGGCCGTTTGAGTTTGCCCCCCTAGACGAGGCATATGCAATGGTTCCGTATGAGGGGGGCTCGGAACGAGAACTGCCCTATTGTGCCGTATGAGGGTCTGAATGGAGTTGAACCGAGGGTTATTATAGCGACGAGACCGAGGGGTTCTTGGATTTTACGGATCCTTGATATCGAGCCAAGTAACTCGGTCATTGTGTTTTCCAACATTGCTATGCATTTATTTTTCGTTTAAGCACATTTGAACCCTTGTATTTGTTTTATCGTCTTTATGTTTTTGTGATTCTGTACTAGTTTGTTTTTCAATTATCGAACTTCTGTTATTATTCAACTTTGATTTTGGTGTGATTCCGTACGACTTTAATTTCCAATTATCAAACATCTTTATCACTCCAACTTTGGTTTTTATATTTTCACTTTAACATTTGTATGTTTAATATTAAGTACATCTTCAAAATGCATAAGAAAAATTTAAGCATCCATTTCCAAAATTCTGGACAGTAGACAATTCATTAAAATTACTGTTGCTAAGTTAAACAAACAAACATATGTTAAGTTATATATTCAATATAAGTTTATAAACCTAAATACATGAAAATATTTATAAATATTTATAAACCAAAATACAATAGAGCATGTAAACTTAAAAAACATAATTTACAAACATTATTGAGTGGCGGCGACGAAACATGAAAAGTAATATTACAAACCGAAATAAAAAGGCGAGAAAATTTAATACTAACACCGAAAAACTAGCCGACTACATGGAGGTGGAAAAATACCACGGTAAATACTAATATTAATAGTACGGAAAAATATTAGGGAAAACTAGCCAAAAAACATGGTGATTGGAACCCGTAGTTCAATCCTAAACGATACACGCTTCGAATGATACCTAGTAATCGTTTGCCCCGTCGATTGGCCCTTTGCCGTTATCTCTCTTTGAGGAGCGGTTTGACCCGGACGAGCGAACAAAATTGGAGGGGCGATTTTATAAAACAAGAAAAATGGTTGCCGTAAGAAGTGGTGGGTTCAAACAGTGTTTTCCATTATTTTGGGGTATATAATATATAATACAAAAAAGAGATAAAGGGTGGTATGGTAAATAACCACATTATCCGTCCCAATCAACCCAACCATTTGTGAGATTAGCACACCTAGTTTCAATCCCATAGACCCGAATCCCACCAACCAAAACCGAGATCCCATCCAACTAACACCAATCCATACAGTAGAATTTGAAAAAGAACCCAAAATCCCATCCCATCCCATCCTTGGGGTATATTGAGTAATTGGATAGAAGTGTTATTGTCATTTTTTATTTTGTTTGTTATTTATTTACTTAACTTTTATTAATATATAAAAAAATTATTATTTATAAAGGCATATATGATATATGGTAATGAAATAGAATTACTAATTTAATGTTTGAATATAGGGGTAATGGCAAATAGGCCCATGACAAGGGCACTTAATTAAAAAAGGGACATCCAACTTTTTTGTTTTTCAATTAAACCCACCCCATTCAAATTTATTTGCAAATAAGGAAAATCCCTTTATATATACCAAAATTACCCCCAATTCATTGAAACCCAATTCAACTCCAATTTCATGATTTACACCCCAATTTAGCCCAATTTCATCAATTAACCAATTTTAAACCTAATTTCAATTTTGACCCCAATTTTAACCCTAATTCTTATCAATTCCACCCATTATGCTCTAACTTCTTAAATATTACACATTAACCCCGGATTTAAACAAATATATCACATTAACCCCAAAACTTTTTTTTTTCAGAAAATAAATTTTTTTTCTGAAATATTTTTTTTCCGGCCAGATTCCGGCGTTGACCGCCGGAGACCGCCGGTCTCCGGCGTTGACTTTTGTTTTTTGTTTTTTTTTTTTTTTTTTTTTTTTTTGAATTTTCGTTTTCCTGAAATTTTTTTCCGGCCAGTCAACGGCCGTTGACCGCCGGGTCTCCGGCGTTGATTTTTTTTTTTTTTTTTTTTTTAATAATTTTGTTTTTTCTTAAAAAAAATATTTTAATTAATTTTACTGTCTTGGCTGCTAAATTACTGTCTCCGGCAGCTATTTAACTGTCGGAGACAGTAATTTAACTGTTAATTGACTTTTTTATTCTTAAAAAAAATATTTTTAATTAATATTACTGTATTCGTTGCTAAATTACTGTCTCCAGCAGTTATTTAACTGTCGGAGACAGTAATTTAACTGTTAATTGACTTTTTTATTCTTAAAAAAAATATTTTTAATTAATATTACTGTATTCGTTGCTAAATTACTGTCTCCAGCAGTTATTTAACTGTCGGAGACAGTAATTTAACTGTTAATTGACTTTTTTATTCTTAAAAAAAATATTTTTAATTAATATTACTGTATTCGTTGCTAAATTACTGTCTCCAGCAGTTATTTAACTGTCGGAGACAGTAATTTAACTGTTAATTGACTTTTTTATTCTTAAAAAAAATATTTTTAATTAATATTACTGTATTCGTTGCTAAATTACTGTCTCCAGCAGTTATTTAACTGTCGGAGACAGTAATTTAACTGTTAATTGACTTTTTTTTTTTTTTTTAATTTTTTTCCTTACAAAAAAATTTGTTTTAATTAATATTACTGTCTTGGATGTTAAATTACT